TTTAGACAAACATAGATCCAAGGTTTCTAGGGTTGCATGTACACCTTAGGAGTGTTAGAATGCTCAAAACCCTTCAATATGGTCCTTCCCATTTAGGGGCTAATTTGCCTGCCCTAGGATCCTTGGTGTTTTTGAATGTTTTCATTAATACCAAGTCTCCTATTTGGAATCTTCTGACTTTTATGTTCTTATTGTAAGCCTTGGTGATCCTTTGTTGATGAGCAACAATGCGTATTTTGGCAAGATCTCTGAGTTCATCAATAGTGTCAAGATCCTGGGCTAGGATCCTGTTGTTATTCTCTTGATCTTGGAGCAAGTATCTTGCTGTCATGATCACTACTTCGGTAGTGATCACTACTTCTGTCCCAAACACCAAAGAGTAAGGGATCTGATTTGGGTCAATAGCTGCTTTATCTGCCTGAAGTCGTGTAAACCAGAAATGAATTAACAAATATGAAGCAAAACCTACTCCTTCCCAACCCAGGAATAATTGATGAGAGTTATCTCCAGTCACCAACATTGGCATAAAAAAAAGTAGGAATGGATAAATAACACATAAATCGAGGGCTATGCGGATCCTCAGACATATATGAAATGGAATAAAGATGGACCAAGCTACTTATATGGATGTAACCACAATTAACATCACTACGGTCGGGCTATAGAACACGGGGTCAGAAGTGAATTATATAGATAATATATTTTTGATTATTTGAACTTCCATTCGTTAACTTAAATAAAAAAAAATCTTCCTTATTTTTATGTACGTTTCGGTATAGGTTTTTGTTTCTTTATGTTTTCGAACATATTTCTATGTATGTGTTTTACATATAAATTTTGTCATATAATACGTTTTCATTTGATGATGTATATCAAAGTTTCAAACGCTCATTATGGCTTCGTCATGGTGCGTCATGGCTTGAAGGCTTGTATTTTACGCCATGTTTTAACAAATGTCACTTTAAGTCATATATGTATATAAAGACGAATATAAAGACGAATAGTAGTATAATATATATATATATATATATATATATATATATATATATATATATATCTTAACTATATTATAAAGCATATTTTACTTTTCTTGAAATTTAAGAGATACATACGTGATAACTTAATGTACAAATCTGTTATGCACAAACCACTCATCTTTTATAAACAAAAACTAATTATGGTAAAAAAAATAATCAACGAAATATTTAAGGAAGAGAAATTAAATATCCTCCTACCATTTCTTCCTACTTATCTTCCTACCCATTTGAAATGGTGACATGTCTCATATTTTGATAAAATTAATTATATTTTAATACACTTGTCAACATTTAAAGTGGGTAGGAAGATAATTAGGAGGAAAAGTAGGAGGATATTTAATTTCTCAGGAAGGAATAAACATCAATTAATTTTTTTTTCTTTTTTAACGTGGGCATGATGTTTGCCTAAAGATTGGGCATGAAATTGTTATATATAAACGACGTGACTCGTCACAGCTCGTAAAAGATTGAAGTTTGACATTGTCGTCAAGTCAAGTCTAACATTATTTAGAACATTGGTATATATTGAAGTTATTCACTGGTACTGGTTAGGGATGAGATTTAGAACCGGAAAACCGGACCGGAATCGGAATCGGACCGAACTGGGATATATAGAACCGGTTCCGATTCCAGGTTTAAAAATTGGCTTTATCCGGGTTCCAACTAATCCGGGTTTGGGTCCATCGGGTCCGATAAACCAAGTCTAAAAACCATAACCAGTATTAGGAACCAGAACCACTTTTAGGGTGGAACCGGTTTTTGTGAAACGTTTAAAAGATGCATATCTCATTCGTTTCAACTCCGATTGACATGCGGTTTTTTCCAAAGTGTAGTTTAGAGTTTGTACATGATATTAGACTATAAATTTGTCATTTTTAATTTTATATTCATTGACTTACAGTCCCCCAAAGTCGAGATATCAAAGCTGAAAGTTTTTTGTTTTTTCAGTTGTTTTGTATTCTGTGAAAGTTTTAAAACATGGATATCTAATTCGTTTGAAGTCGGATTGACATGTGGTTTTTTCAACTTGTAGTTTACAGTTTTTACATGAGTTTAGACTATAATTTTGTCATTTTTGGTTTAATATTCAATGATTTACAGTCCCCCAAAGCCGGGATATCAAAACTGAAAATTTTCAACTTTTCAGCTATTTTTTTACTTTGTATTCTGTGAAAATGTTAACACATACATATCTCATTCGTTTAAAGTCGGATTAACATGCGGTTTTTTCCAGAATGTAGTTTAGAGTTTGTACATGATTTTAAACTATAATTTTGTCAATTTTGGTTTCATATTCAATGAGTTACAGTCCCCCAAAGTCGGGATATCAATATGAAACTTATCATAGTTCAACCCACTAAATAGTAAGTAATTACCAAAAAATTCCGGTTTTTCCGGGTTTTCCGGTTCTAAAACCACTTTATCCGGTTCCAACCTACCCACTTTGATGTTTCCGAGTTTTTCGGTTCTAGACCCACTTTACCCGGTACCGTACCCGAAACTGAGCTGGAACCGGTTCCTATATACCAGTCCGGGTCCGGGTCCATCCGGTCTGGGTTTGGACCCACTTTCATCCCTAGTACTGGTATATTTATCTATTAATAAATACAATAACATTTAACTTTTATCAATACAATTGTCAAAATTCAATTTACAAAATGAATTTTAACCGAATTATAATCGTTAATGAAAATGAAAGTGTAACTTCATAAAACATTAACAAACACGATAAAACTTAAATCTTTAAATTATTGTAATAATTTTACAAAAATAAAATGAATACTATTTCACAAAATGCTAGAATTCAACAAAGCAAAATACCAAATGGCAAGTATTATTCCAACTACATCTCCCAACCCAAAAGACTCTTTTAAAATTTCTATTACATGAATACATGTAGTGAGTTTATTCCCTATATATTATGAAACATAATCTATAAGACTTCCTAATTACCTAAAAAGTCCATGCTGACGTGGCAACAAGCGGTCTATCATGCCAGCAAAGCACCAACTCCCCTTGCTGTTTTGCCACGTGGAACCCCCTAATTTGTACCCTCCGTAACAAACACTCCGCTTGAAAGTCAGCAAACTGACTCAGCCCCACCGGCCTCATCCCGGCCCTACCAAACGCCTCCCTCCACGGCGTCACATGGCGTCCTGCATCCTCCACCGTCGTGATTATTTTTGGCAGCAACACGAACATCTCGATATTCCTTATCCAGTCACCTCCTGTCACACCACCACCAACGTTTGCCGCCTCCAATGATTCTAGAATTGTCGTGTACAATTCTAGGCCGTTGATCACTGTTTGACGGAAGAACGACGCTCCGGATCCATTCAATTCGCCGTCCAAATATACTACTACGTGCGGCGAAACTTGCCGGAGATCGTTGATGAAACCGGCGCCGATGCGTCGGAAAATCGTGGGAGACAGAAGAACCGCTGTCTTCTCTCCAGTGACGAACTTAATTGCTTTAAACGATAAGTATTCGAATGTTCGAATGGAAATGAAGTCGATATCGAACCTTACTTTCAGATCGGAAGAGAATTGGTGTAGATTATCTCTGATCAATCGCGATTCCAGTTCGTATTCTTCAGGAACCACGGCGGTGATTCTTACCACCGGTGAATTAACCTTCCGAGCTTCCGCCTTCTCCGCAATCGCTTTCAGGAACGATGCCCACTGGCCGCCGAGGCCGATGTCGAAATCGATGACGTGGACGATCATTGCACCGTCCACTGCATCAAGGATCGCCTGATTGGCGGTGAAGCTGGAGAACATCGGAATCGGCGAGACGATGGAGAACGTCTTGTACGCTTTAATCACTTGTACAATTTCATACGAGTTACATGTCTGAAAGCTCCGAGTCGATCCGGTGAGTAGACACTGAATCGCTTCTTTGAAGTAAAACGCAGCTCTCTGAAGCGCTTTTCCGGTGGGTGAACGCAACAGCTGATTGAGCCGCGCCAGTATCACTTGCGCCAACTGGAAAGACTGAGTTTCAAAGCAATCAGCTAGCCGGATTAACTCGTCCCTGAAATCGAACTCGCTTCCATCATCACGCTGGCTCATCAAATCAAAGGGGTTCTGGTTCGAATTCGGATTTAGGCTTTCGAAATCCGACTGAAAAAAAGGCGGGAGCTCGGGAAGATCAAGAGGGTAAGCGGATTTTGTGGAATCATCATAAAGCCCTAATTCTCTCATGAGAGAATCAGAATCCCATTCTTCACGATGATTAATCATTCCATTTTCTAAATTGTCCACCGGCAGCTGTTCCTCCGAAGAAAACAACACGGTATTGTAATAACCAATGGAATTGAAGTCCGAAGAATTACCGGTTAACGGACTTGGCGGACTCCGGCGAATATCAAGAACTGATTTGGGTTCGTAGCGATTACCACCGATGTTATCAACAGAGAGATTGTTTTGAGAGGATACAAAGGGAAATTTCATTCCTCAAAAGTAATGCAGGTGCGCTCTTCAATTACAACTTTTTTCTACTCTTTGTTAAATTATTTTGGTGAGACTGAAGTTTTCGAGGGGAAAAAGGAAGAGTGGTGATCGGGTTTAAGGAGATGATGATTTCAGACTTTTTAAGGGTTTGATTGAAAGAAAAGTGGTGATGGTGGTGGTGGGGACGGCCATGGCTCCTATGGCCATGAATAGGGATAAGCACTAGAGACATTGAGTGGACAAGACGGGTGAAGAGAGGAGTTAGAAAATTGACTACATCAACCCATTGCATACTGCATCGAGCTTTAGAAGAAATTTTGAAAATTTAAATGATTAAAAAAATATATATATATTAAAGGGTAAAAATAAGTATTTTTTTAAAAAAATTTCAACATAAAGAATGAAGAAAACTTATTAATTGCAAATTTACTGTCACATTTATTACATTTAATACTTTACATATATATACAAATATTATGTGACATTTTAAATGTAAAATTTGAAAAAAACCAAAAATTTAAACATGGATATTATTTATTTTCAAAAATATCACAAAATGACAAGTGTCAAAACTAATGAGACATCGACATGTGGCAAAATAGATCTTCATTTATTATAATAGATATGTTCATTTATATATTTATATTTTTATTCAAACTTTTATATTTCATTATAAATTTGGTCATGATTTTTTTATATATCCCTTACAAACTTTATTAAACTTAATACATAGTTCATAAATAGTTTGTGGTTTTACATGCACATGTTCAACATTTTCTTCTAGCTATCCCTATAGATGAGATTAGCCAACATATATCTCATGTGCAATATCGTACTATCCTCAAATATCGTCTCATGATCCCAATATTCCTAGCTGACGAGATATGTTTGGTGTGCCCCAAAGCATGCTTGGACTCTTTCGGAAAACATATAGTTCATTGTAAAAAACTATCGGGGTTCAAATAAAGGTATGATATGGTTAGAGATGTTTTGTTTGACATATTAAGCGTGCTGGAGTTTCCGCCAAGAAAGAGATATCTGTGAATTTCTTGACTGACCCGACAGAAAGAATGTCAACTCTTAGACCGACTGACATTTTGATTTTTCGATGGATTGGAGTGAAACATGCATGTGTCGATCTTACAGAGGTATCCACTCTCGTGGGCTTAAGGGCTGAGGGTTTCTCGACGGGACAGACTGCTTTAAAAGCTGCTACAGGCAAGGTCACCAAATGAGAAATCGTACATGGAAAATCAACACGTGCTCATACCATTTGCATTTGATACGTTTGGTTTCCTCACGCCGGATGCGGTGGAGCTTCTTAATAGAGTATAACGGATCATGCATAACAATGTTATATCCCTAGATCTAGGGATATAACCTTCAAAAGAATTGACTTTACCATACAAAAAGGCTTAGCCGCACAACTTGTTACCCGTTTGACATTTCACTTGTTGTACGATGATAACTAAGATTTACTAAACTAATTAACTTTTTCACCTTAGTCCTTATTTTTTTGTCCTTGATGATGGTCTTTATAGTCTCAATTTCTATCGTGGTTGGTCTCTCATCATTATCAAAAGACTTTTATATCATTTTTATTATATTTTATATTTTTCTTTAAATAAAATTATTTAATAAATGAAATAAATAATACCCCACTCTGTCTTTTTCCCCACCCCTTCTCTCCACCAGCTCTACAAATCGGCATAATCATATAAGTTGTACCCAAAAATGCATATGAGATTGTAGAGACGACCATCGTATGTTTTTAGGCAAAAGGCGGCATCTCTGATGTTGATGTTGCATTCAGGAGAAAAGATAAGATGAAATACTTACCAATTTGCTGGAGGGGGGGCAATAACTTGAAGATTGATCGAATGTGGGTGTCACACGAGGGAAACATCGATTAGAAGCCAATCAATTTCGATCTACACCCATCATTGGAACATGATCCGGTTTGATTCCAGCTCAATGTCACATTCTTCATCTCATAAAACCTCACCACGAAATCTAACTCTTGACCATTGATCTCGCCGCCACCAATGATTCCACCTCCCTCCCTGAATCTATCAAAGGAATGGTGGAAACCACTTCATTAAATTTCTTAAATCTCAAATGGGACGAGAATTAGGGCTTAAACACAAGTTTGGCTCCGATTCCAGATTATAATCCAACTTTGGGGCTCATGTCTTCTTCCTCTTCATTCGATCTGGGTTTTGTCAACTGTGAATGTGGGTGTACGTATCAAAATCGCGACCAAAAGAACAAAGCAGAATTGACATGGTCATCTAATGTTTAATTTAGAGTTTTTGATATTCCTATTCCATGAACATGTATAGTTTGGAGTTTTTTGTGATGTAGGGGAAGTAATTTTGAAGGTCATGATATGTATATTATTTGATGTGTAAATACTAAATATTTTATACATGGGAAGTAATTCCATGAAAAGAACATCACAATATCTGGTTGATTGTTTGTTTGATGGCAGTGATGATGGTGGTGGTTGTCGATGACGGTGTTCTGTGATGGTGGTGTTGGTGGGTAATAAGAGATGTGGTGGGGTTGGAGTGGAGAAATAAGGGTGGTGATTTTGGTTTAGTGACAGCAGTTAATGATGGCGATGGTGTTTTGTTTTGATTTTTTATTTCAAGTTTGCGTTTTACTTTGGAGTTTGGTTTTGGTGATTGGTTAACGGTGATGTGAACATTAGTGATGGTGGACGGTGGTAGTGATGGTGGATGGAGAATGAAAATTGAAAGTCAAGGGGGTAAGGTAGGATGTAGTAATGGCTATGGTGGGTGATTGTGCCTTTAACCTTGTCGACAGATTCGCATTACTTCATGAGGTCAGATTGAGGTGTCCTTCTATATCCTTGTGGGTAGAATTCCTATATGGTCAAGAAGCAATGTTGTACCTAGGCAACATATATATCTGGTCCATTACCGGGGTTCAGCAAGGAGAGCCCTTAGGACCACTTCTCTTTTCCCTTGTGTTGCACCCGCTCTTGCATAACATTAGAGACAATTGGAAGCTTCTTCTCCATGCATGGTACCGTGATGATGACACGCTTATTGGAGATTCTAAGGAGGTGGCCAAGCGTTGGACATCATTACAGTGATTGGCCCAAAATTGGGCCTACAGCTGAATATCAAGAAAATCGAGCTCTTTTGGCCCTCGTGTGATGGTAGTATGCTACGTGAGGGGCTATTCCCGGCTTGCATCGGGATGCCTCCTTTAGGGGTGAAACTTCTTAGGGGAGATGTTAGTAGAGATGCTAGTTTCATTAGCAGCTTAGCCATAAAGATAGCCGAAAACACTGTGAATTTGATGCACCTTCTTCCACAATTGTCTGACCCCCAAAGTGAGCTCCTTCTGCTTCGGTCTTGTATGCGTATTGCTAAGCTTTTCTTTGGGTTGAGGATGTGCCAACCCGTTCACATGGAGTAGGCGGCATTATTATTTGACAATGGGTTGCACAGGGCGATTGAGGACATTGTGGTTTGTGGTGGCCCTTTCTTTGGCGACATACAATGGCGACTTGCTTCCTTGCCCATTAGGTTTGGTGGTTTGGGTTTATACTCGGCAATAGAGGCTACCTCCTATGCTTTTGTTGCCACAACGACCCAATCTTGGGTATTGCAAGACCACATCTTACGGGATAGCGTCATATATGGTATGGATTATGATTATGATTGTGCATTGGCTTATCTTCGTAACAAGCTCCTGAATATTGACCTTAACAGTTTTACTACTAAAGACATCGTCCCCCCTAAATCCCAAAATACACTGGCGAGTGCCCTTTTTCGTAAAATTGTCTAAAATATGGAAGTGCATCTCGACATGGGCGGCTCGGCAAAAAGGGGTTTTTGTTGGATTAGGTGTCTAAGCTCATAACTATAACTGGTATGTACTTGACCCGATAGTAGCATGGTGTTGGAGCATGGAAATTCTCTACAAATAATGAGTGATAGTTAAGTTGTATTTTTCCCTTTATTGTATTGTTGGTGTATTTGTCTCTCCCTCATATATAAAGGGAGAGATGGTCATTTCTTACTATGCACCTTTTCTAAAATGTAATCTCTAGAGAGAGAAAGTGGTGAGATTTCTCCCATCCAGGGAGAATTTCTTTCTCCCATCAATGTTCTTCATGAAATATATTTTATCTCTCTTTCTTTCTCATATTCTAAGAATTCTCATCATGTTCTTCATATTTTTATATTTTGATACACGATAAATCTCAAGATTATTCTTCCGCATCCACC